CTGTTGGTGGGAAGGTAAACTAGTACAACCACTCTGAAAAAAAATTTGGAGGCTACTTAAAAAGCTAAACATTGATCTACCGTATGATCCAGCAATACCACTCTTGGGGATATACCCAAAAGTCTGTGACACAGGTTACTCCAGAGGCACCTGCACACTGATGTTTATTGCAGCACTATTCACAATAGCCAAGTTATGGAAACAGCCAAGATGCCCCACTACTGATGAATGGATCAAGAAATGTAGTATTTATACACAATGGAATTTTATGCAACCATGAAGAAGAACGAAATGTTATCATTCGCTGGTAAATGGATGGAATTGGAGAACATCATTCTGAGTGAGGTTAGCCTGGCCCAAAAGATCAAAAATCATATGTTCTCCCTCATATGCGGACATTAGATCAAGGGCAAACACAACAAGGGGATTGGACTTTGATCACATGATAAAGCGAGAGCACACAAGGGAGATATGAGGATAGGTAAGACACCTAAAAAACTAGATAGCATTTGTTGCCCTCAATGCAGAGAAACTAAAGCAGATACTTTAAAGCAACTGAGGCCAACAGGAGAAGGGGACCAGGAACTAGAGAAAAGGTTGGTTCAAGAAGAATTAACCTAGAAGGTAACACACATGCATAGGAAATCAATGTGAGTCAACTCCCTGTATAGCTATCCTTATCTCAACTAGCAAAAACCCTGTTCCTTCCTATTATTGCTTATACTCTCTCTTCAACAAAATTAGAAATAAGGGCAAAATAGTTTCTGCCAGGTAGCGAGGGGGGTAGGGGGGAGGGAGGGGGTGGGGGGAAGGGGGAGAAATGACCCAAACATTGCATGCACATATGAATAAAATAAAAATTAAAAAAAAAAAAAAGGTAAAACTATAATTTCCTGAAGGATTTCTAAGGGCTTTAAGTATGCTAATAAGCATATTACAATCCCAAGAAAGAGCTATAGCATTTTCATTTCACAAATTTACTTTTTTATTATCATATTATTGTTGTACTGGGGGTACATTGTGACATTTATAAAAGTTTTTTTACAATATATCATAGTTGAATTCACCCATTCCATTATTTATTTTACAAATTTATTTGATCATAGAACCTTTTAACCAAGGGGGATAAAATTCTTCCCGGGGAGAGATCCAAGAACTAGACAAAGATTTAGTAGGGAGTTGAAGTATATTTTAATCAAAAGATAAGACCAGAATTAGAATAAATTGTGACAGGATTAGAATAAATTAAAAAGAATTTAATTAAACATTTATTTCCTTTTTTCTGGTGGTACTGGTTTGAACTTAGGGTCTTAGGCTTGCTAAGCAGATGCTCTCCCACTTGAGCCACTCTGCCAGTCCCTGCCATCCCTTTTTTGCATTGGGTACTTTTGAGATAGGGAACTATTTGCCTGGGCGGGGCTTTGAACTGCGATCCTCCTGATCCCTCCTTCAGAGTAGGTAGGATTACAGGTGTGAGCCACCAGTGCCCAGCTGACATTTATTTCCTTATCGAGCTTTAGCTATAAAGTAAGCTTGCTGTATATGGTAATACATTTTTACTATCCATTGGTTAAGTAAAGTTCTTCCAGTATTGATAAGCTTTTATTTCAAAATGACAAAAAAAGGAGAAAAGAATGCTACGTTTTAGTCTGGGAATAGCATACCTAGAATGACTGTTCATCTCTCTTCTCTCTCTTTTTCTCTCTCTGGTATTGGGTAGAGATTGAACCTAGGGTTTTGAGCTCACTAGGCAAGTGCTCTACTCCTCTGAGGTAGGCCCCCAGCCCTGTTGTTTTTACTTTGTTTTTGAGAAAGGGTCTTGCTAACTTTGCCTAGACTGAACTCAAACTCACTATCTTCCTGCCTCTGTCTCCTGAGTAGTTGGGATTACACTGCTGTGCACCACTATACCTGGCTCCCTCCTGCTCTTTCCCTTCCTCTATCCTTCATCTTTCCTTCCCTTTTTATTGAGAACAGATTAGTGATTATCTTAAAATGGGATCTAGGAATCTACATGTGTAAAGAAGCAGCACCTGGTCACCCTCATTCTCATAGACCCTGGGTGGAAAGGGCTGTCTGCTCATCTTGATCTACAGGTAATAATGACTATCTCTTGATCCATCCTCCACTCCAATTATAGGACTCTTAAGTCTTCTCACTGCAGTTGAATACCAGAGAGCAATTTGGTTAAGGGAAATAACTACTTGGTGACAATTTCCCCTGTTTTATGGGTGGGGATGTATGATCTCAGAGTGCTCAACCACCTGGTAATCTTTCCACAGAAGGCTCTGGCAGGCACGGGATTAGAATTCAGACTACTGGCAGCAGGCAGCCCTTTTAGGCGCCACTCCTCCACAAGATCCCACAGGATATTGAGTAAGGGAAATATTGCCGAGGATGGCAACTCTGAATATTTCCAGCAGTTTCATTCCACTGCTGAGAACACAATCCTGACTTGCCAGGGGAGGTGATGATTTGGCAGGCTCAGGCAGCATGAACTGGAGGACCCCAGTCCAAACACGTGCTTTTGCAATGAGCCCATCACCTCTCTCTGTCATGATCCTCCAGCACCTGCCAGGGTGGCAGCACCCACTGTCTGGGTGCCAGAGCTCAGGGAGGGGAAGGGAATCGGAGACACTGTCTTTGTTTGCTTTGGGCTCTTACATGGGGCTTCAGGTGAGCCTGGCTCACCTTTCTTCCTAGTCAGGACTTTAACCTTCTGCTTTGAAAGGAATTCCTGAGAATATGAGTAAAGACTTTACCAGGAGGGAGGCATCCAATTGATGGGCAGGAGTAAATATGTCAAAGAAGAACTTTGTTCATTTCTATGGATGGATAATGATTTAAAAATCCAAACACTTACGATGGATGCTGTGTTTAAATTGCAAAACAGTCTCACAAGTAGGGCAGATACCTCTTTTTACAAATAAGGAAAGAGAGGTCAAGTACCTTGTCCAAGGTCATCTAATGGTGAGAGGTAGATAGGATATTTGAACCCAGGTATTCTGAATTCCATGATGACATGCTTTTTTTGTGTTAGATCACAACTACCTTGCTGTTGTGTGACATTTTGTAATTTTCGAAGGAACTTCACTCACATTATGTATTGTGAGCTCACCACAAACCTGTGAGGCAGAAGAGGGTTTGACAGATTAGAACACAGACTTAATGTGTTAAACCATGGTTCTAGGTCATCCAAATTAGCTCCCTCCATCCAGCATGGGTCTTACCTCCTGCTCCAGTGTGCTGTCTTACTCTTCACTCTTACTTGGCTTCCTTTCCCACCCATCCTTATCCTCTGGTGATACCTGCTGTTATAAACCCTATTTTTACAGTTGATGAAATTGGTCACATAAATGTAACTTCTCCAAGATCAAGGAGCTAGTGAATAGTGAAGATGGATCCAACCAGGAAGACTGGCTGCAGATGAGTCATAGAGATAGCACTTGAAATGGCTTCACTGACATCCTTCAGTTTTCAGACCAATCCTTGGCCATAGGTTGTCTTTTCCAGAAATCATCCCAGAGTTCTAGTTGTCAGCTTGACTAGAATCCTGGAGATGTACTAGCCACCAATTTTGGAGGGAGTCTAGAGTCTGTCTCACCTGCTCCAGATCCAGAAAAGCCCTTGTCTAGGCCACAGGATTCCATCATCAGGAGCCCCAGGAGGGCTTGTTAAAATATAGGCCCCAAGGTCTTCCTTTGCAGATGTTCACTCAGAGGACTGGGGTGGGAATGGGGTCCTCACGACACAATGGTGTCATGCCCTAGGATACGCTAGGAGCTGGACTCAGAAAGGGTAGCACTCAAGCACTTACCTGGAGGAACTCAAGGCCTATGGGGCACTGCCAAGTGAATAGGGCCATATAAGGAAGGTACAGGATGTAAGGGAAAACAGCAAGGGGTAGTGAATATGGGGTTTGTTTGGTGGTACTGGGGTTCAAACTCAGGGCTTCATGCTTGCTAAGCAGGTACTCTACCACTTGAACCACACCCCCAGCCAGAAAGGGGTGCTGACCAGACCAGGTGGTAGAGTGGGAAGGAGATACTACATTTCAGATCTGAGTTGAGGCCTAGATGTTCACTCATTCTCATCTCAAGAGGAGTGGGCTCCTTGAGCTGACTCTTACCAGCTAGCTGCCATGTCCACACATTCTGTCTCCTCTTGCTTCTGGCTCCATAAACCACCTGCTGTTGGTCTAGGATGGCAGGTGCAGGGCTTGGGCTGAGACCTTCCCCTGCACTTGTCTTCCTTCTACTCAAGCCTCATGCTGTTTGCTTTGCATCACAAGCCTGTGTTCCCTAGGAACCAGACATGTGTGGACTCCACTTTAGTTTCTTTCCCACCAGCATTACTTCTCAGCTCAAATTCCAGATCTGCTTAGATGGAAGCTTTTGGCTGAGGTGGTAGCAGACTGGACCCCCCGAGGTCAGTGCACCTCTCACCCCTCAAACCCTCTGAAGAGTTGGGCACAGGTGATATGCCATCAAAGCCAATGTCCATCAATGTGAGGATTAGCTCAATTACTGCCAGAGTGTGTGAGCACTCTGCACCACAGGTAAGGGCTCAGTCCATCTGGGGGAGACTGACCAGTCCTCAGCCTGGGCCATGGAGCTCAATGGCTCTTCATCATCCAGTTCATCCTGCTGGATTGGGTGCTGCTTGGGTTCTTTGAGACCCTTGAAGGAATCACACTACAGGAAAGAGGAGAGTTCTGTCTTCTGTCAGTTGAGGCAAGTTTGGGTGATTAAGCTGAGAAAGCAAAGCCATTTTGGTCCAGAGGATTATCTTTGAGGTGTGCGGGGAACCAAGAAGTAACTTATTGCCTGCAAGGCAACCAAACCCAGGATGACTGTCAGCTAATTGCTTGCCTCTCCTTCTGCCAAGCCAAATGGCCTGGCATAAAAAGACCAGCCTCTGCTGTCGTCCCCATCTTCTGTCTTCATCTCTCGCTCTGCTCTTGCTAAGTGATTGCTAGCTCACCTCTAAGCACTCTCACCATGAACAAACAAGCCTGCCAAAAGTTCTTCAGCAGCACAAGCCAGGGCTTCTCTGGCCACTCAGCTGTGGTCTCTGGCAGCAGCAAGATGAGCTGTGTGGCCCGCTCCCAGGGGACCAGTGGAAGGGCCTGTGGGCTTCGGAATGGAGCAAGCAGCTTTGGCAGTAGCAGCCTCCACAACCTGGGTGGCAACAAGAGAATCTCTATGAGTGTGGCAGCTGGTGGCTCCAGGGCTGGTGGCTTTGGTGGAGGACATAGAAGCTATGGCAGTGGCTTTGGGGGTGGCTATGGAGGTGGCTTTGGTGGTGGTTATGGAGGCAGCTATGGTGGCAGAGGGATGGGAGGTGGCTTTGGGGGAGCTGGTGGCTTTGGAGGGGCTGGTAGCTTTGGTGAGCCTGGTGGCTTTCCTGGGGGAATCCAGGAAGTGACTGTCAACCAGAGCCTCCTGCAGCCCTTCAGTGTAGAGATTGACCCTCAGATTGGACAAGTGAAAACTCAGGAACGCGAGCAGATCAAGATCCTCAACAACAAGTTCGCCTCCTTCATCGACAAGGTGAGGGGAAGGCCCAGAGGTTTTGTGGAGGATTTGGGCTGCCCAGTGGGTTGGCATAGGAAGATGCCAGTGAGACCTGCTAGACTTGGAGACAGGGGTGCCTAGCTCTTGGCCTAGTTCTGCCTTCTTTGCTCCAGAATAGTGAGTATGCCTCTCTTGCTCCTTGGGCCCCATTTTTCTAGCTGTAAAATGGGGGATGGCTCCTTGGTCATAATTTTCCCTCAGGGATGAGATGAGGTGAGGGTCCAACTATATTCTTAGCTCTGAAGAATGGGGCTTTAGCCACAAAATCAATATAGCTCACTTTCAATTCCTTCAGAAAGCAGTTGCCTGATAAGCCAATGTAGCTGGGAATCTTGCATTACATGAATCTTGGGGCTGCCTTTGCATGATGAATACTGGCAGCTGACTTACCTTCCCATGATGCAGTATTTCAGCCAGTGTTACCCCATGCTGGGGTAGAGAAGGATGTACCCAGTCTGTGGAGGAATGAGCCCAGGATTTGAAGTCGGCTGAAAGATGAATAACTGAAAGGAAGTCTTCCCGTGGGCAACATCTAAGGAACAGTTAGACCTCATTGACTATGTTTACTACCTTTATGGAAGTAAGAGAACCTTACTTCCAAAACATAGTTAAAAATAACTTTTTTCATGCTGACCTCCTTTGGCTGTGTTCTAAAGGATTCCAGTAGATCTAGGACCATCCTGGGACTGTCTTTTCACTTTATCACTCAGTACTCATCTCACTTTTGGTAATGTAAGCTCTCTGAGCCTCAGTGTCTTCAGTAGAGATTATAATACCTCCTGTACAGGTGGTTGTGAGCATTAAGTGATATAGGCTATGTGACAATAGCAGGTATAATGTAAGGACTCAACAAGTTCTAGCTCTCCCTTTCGTTATCTGTACCTCCAAATTCCCCAAACACAGACAAAATTGTGAATTGAAGAATTGGGTCCATTCTCTACCTTTCCACCCTTTGGGATGGTGGCCCCACCTGTCCAACTCAAGAGGCTCCTTTCCTTCCTCCCTGATACAGGTGCGGTTCCTGGAACAGCAAAACAAGGTCCTGGAGACCAAGTGGGAACTACTCCAGCAGCAGACCACTGGCTCTGGCTCTGGTCCCCACAACCTGGAGCCTTTCTTTGAATCCTATCTCAGCTTTCTGCGCAAGCAGTTGGATTCACTTCGGGGGGAGAAGGGGAACCAAGAGGGAGAGCTAAAGAACATGCAAGACCTGGTGGAAGACTTCAAAAAGAAGTAAGGGTCCCAGTGAGTGGAGCGTCCTCTTCTGGGGGATTAACAGGCAAGGCCTGGTCCTAAGTTGGGGTTTCAACTGTTCCTGGAGCTATAGACCACCTTTAGTCAATACTCTTGGGTGGACCAAGCAGAAGGAAGAGACAGGGTGGGGACAGGGTGGGGACTGACAATCTTGTGTGGCTGATTATTATGTATTTCTTAATGTCCAGACGGCCCCCTTCCTATCTCAGGCTAGAGTTCTTGAGAATGGGGCACCCTCACGCTTAACTGTACATAGAAGTCACCTTGGAACTTTGTCCAACATTCATAGTCCTGTGTTCTGGCCCTCCATATTCTGTGGAGGCTTTTTTTTGTGACACTGGGATTTGAACTCAGGGCCTTATACTTGCTAGGCAAGCACACTTACTGCTTGAGCCACTCTGGCAACCCTGGCCCTCCACATTCTGAACCAGCAGGTATGGCGCAGGCCCCAGGAGTTGGAGTGCTACCCAGCTCCTGGGCATTCCAGGGCTATCTTTGTAAAGTGCTCTTTCAGTGTGTCCTGTACAGTCCCCTGTGTCTGCAGTTTCAGTCAGCTTCCCATGTTCCAAGTTGTAGTTCATGCTATCTGAGGTTTGTGGGGGGTAAACTGGGCCTCTTAAGGTGGGAGGGAGCTCCAGACATTCCCAAGGGTCAGGACCCATGGGACTAGGTTTACCTGCTCTGAGGGTCCCATTCCAATGCCACTGCATAAGCTGGTGGCCACCTGCTTGTTGTGAGGCTCCATGCTGGGTTCTGGGAATCCAGAGGCACCTCAGACTCACATTGCCCAGAATTTTCTTCATTCCTACAATGGTTCTTGTTCTTCAGTCTTCATGAACTCCAAGCCCATGGTGGGAGAGTCTAGTTTCTAACAGACTGGAATCTCAGCCCTGATGCATTTGGAAGACATGAGTTCTTTTATCCAGTTTCCTCTAAGAAGCCACTGTAATTAAGGAAAACCGAAACAGCAAACTAAGGCAGGAACATTGTGGGGAGCAAACATCTCTTTGAGTCCCTTATGTGCACACTGCTTTGTGAAGTTGACCAAAGTGCCCAGGCAAACAGTCAGGATGCTTGACGTCTTCCCCCTCCCTCCCTGTCTATCTGCACCTCAGCTTATCACCAGACTTGAAGGTGAACCTGTGCCCTGAGCTCTGAGAGGTCTTCAGGCAGGAGATCTACATGATTTTCAGGGCTCAGTGCTAAATAATAATGCGGGGTCTTTGTTTAAAAATTACGACGATTTCACAATTGTGCCAGCAGAGAATCAAACTGAGTGAGGACCTTTTAGCCCTGAGTCCTGTGTAACTGCACAGGTTGCACACCCATGAGGCAGGTCCTGTCTCTGTGTAAGGAGATTATGCATGAGTACCTGGGGCCCTCACTGCTCTTCACTTCTGAAATGTCACATTCTAAATGTGTGCCTCTGTCTGTTTCAGATATGAAGATGAGGTCAACAAGCGTGCTGCGGTAGAGAATGAGTTTGTGGGGCTCAAGAAGGTGGGTTGAGTGGAGTGAACAGAACCTGGCTCCTTTGCCTTCCTATGGAAGAAGAGCCACTGACCCTGTGCTGTGGGTGGGGCTTACATTATCCTTACATTTTTGGAAATGTTTGATAAAGGAAGCTGCTCTGAGTATATTGCTGGTCGGGGAGACATCCTCGAACTGTAACCAATGAGCTGGTTAATAGTATGAACTAACGCGCATATTTTATGTGTAACATTAATCAATATTTTCAGCCTATGGGCGTGCTCTGGGTGTTCATAATAACAGTAATCAACGGTAGCTCGTTTAAACTAGTCTCTGTAATATGCAGTAGTGAAAATGCCCTCATTTCTATTCAGGAGACCGGGCTTTTGATACTCTATAACCAAAGCCACATATATTTTAGACAAATGTGGTTTTTCTGCCCTAAAACTAGGTGGTGTCTCTGTGCCTGACTAACATGGTTTGTATTTTGTTACAGCATTGGGTTTGATTGTTCAAAGCAATAGGAAGGAAATACTTTCCTTTTCTATCTTTTAAAAGGGAAGGTGAGAAGTCATACATAGAAGGGTCGGGGGAGGGACTAACAGGGGAGATGAGGACTTAGAAGGAGCTGTGGGAGGAGGGGAGGGAACAGAGGGGTCATTCTTTGGGTTTCTGACCTCTCTTTCAGGATGTAGGTGTGGCTTACATGAACAAGGTGGAGCTGCAGGCTAAAGTGGACAGCTTGACAGATGAAATCAACTTCCTGAGGACCCTCTATGACATGGTGATTCCTTGGTTTGCTAAGCTCTAGGGTCTGTTCATTGGCATCTTCCCAAGCACAGCTTTAGGGGATCATGAAGTGGCAGGATGCTCACAAAACCAGCAACAGAGTTTGGAACTCATCCCTGCTCACCCAGGAAGAGTTTACTTGCTCCACCAGCCTGCACAGACTTGGCCAGTGGGGCCAGGGCCCCTCTTTTTCCTCAGCCCATTCTGCTGTACACCTTCCCCCAGGCTCTAGTCCAGTATCACAGGCAGCTACTTCACAATACTGCTCCCTCCTGTGCTCCCATGGAGATCCACACAGTTGGGCTTACTGGCTGTGCTTTCAGAGTGACAAACATCCTGATTATGTTTGCATATTTCCTTTTTTTTTTTTTTTCAGCCCTGTTGGGATTCTTTAGGTTGTAGCCAGGCCTGAACTCTTTTTAACGGCCCCACTCTTTAGCCCCATCCTTGGGTTATCTTTGCTAGTAGAGGATTCCCAGCATCCTCTGGGGTCAGTGACTGTTTATGTCCCCTGCAGGAGCTGAGCCAGATGCAGAGCCATGTCAGTGACACGTCTGTGGTGTTGTCCATGGATAACAACCGCTGCCTGGATCTGGACAGCATTATTGCAGAAGTACGAATCCAGTATGAAGACATTGCCGAGAGGAGCAAGGCCGAGGCTGAGGCCCTGTACCAGACCAAGGTGGGAGCCCTTCTCTCGTTCCAATGAGCTTCGTCAAGAATGTGCCAATACTTTGCAAAACCATGTTGATTGGTTTTTCCTCTATCAGCTTGGGGAGCTGCAGACGACAGCTGGCAGGCATGGGGATGACCTGAGGAGCACCAAGAGTGAGATCATGGAGCTCAACAGGGTGATCCAGAGACTGCGGGCAGAGATTGAGAATGTCAAGAAGCAGGTGGGTCCAGGTTTAATGGAGTGATCCTGGAGGCCTCCTGGGCCCTGGATGGTCTTCTCTGCCACATGCGTTTTCCATCCTTTCATGGTCTTACAGCCTGGGGGAGTTCTGTTCTCCCAGATTTTCCTTCTGGAAGCCGGCCTTCTTGGAATGCTCCCTGAAGAGAGATGGATGCCCATTCTGGACTGTCCAGCAAATCTGACAACTGCGGTGTTGGCCTGAAATACTCAGATCTTAGCAGGATCTGCCCTTGGCAAGGCTACTTATCTTGCTCTTCACTTAATCTTGATGGCTGCTTTGTATCACTGGAATGAAGTGATTGGGCAAGGAGCTTTTAACAGTCTTGCAAAAAAGATTAGTGGTTAGTCAGACCACTACTACCTTTGACAGACTAGGAAAGCAAATCAACATTCCTTTGCTTTTTTCCCCCTACACCCGCATTTTTATTAGCATATATTGTTGTATACAGGGGTTTCACTGTGATATTTCCATACATGCCTATAAGGTATCCTGATCAAATCCATCCCCTCTATCTCCCATCTCCCCTTTCCCTGCTTCTTGTAACATTTTTAACAGTTTTCATTGTTCTATTTCCATACACCTGTATAGAATTCTTTGAATATATTCAATCCCAACCCACTGTACCCTCTCCTTTAACCTTTCTCCTTCCTGCTGGTACATACTCCCAAACAGAGCCTGTTTTACATTTCTGTTGTTAGTTTTTTAGAGTCAGATGAGAGAAAACGTGATATTTTATTTTCTCAGTCTGACTTGTTTTGCTTAGCATGGTGATTGCCAGTTCCATCCATTTTCCTGAAAATGACATAATTTCATTCTTCTTTATGGCTGAATAATATTCCCTTATGTGTACACACCACACACACATTCGTCAGTTGATGGACACCTAGGCTGATTCCATGTTTTGCCTATTGTGAATAGTGTTGCTACAAGCATGGGTGTGCACATATCTCTACTGTATATTAACCTACATTCCTTCAGATACATGTCCAGGAGTGATGTAGCAGGATCACACAGCAGTACTATCTTTAGTTTTTTAAGTAACCTCCATACTGATTTCCATAGAGGCTGTGCTAATTTACATTCTCACCACACATGAGTTGATTTCAATGGGTCAAGGATGAATTAGCCAATTGCAATATCAACTTCTTTTCTGAGCATGCTCCATTGGGATTTCTAAGGAAGGGGAAAGGTGCTGGATGGGGGAAGAGATCTCCTCTCAGGAAAAATCAGATGCTTGTTCCCCAGTCACTATAATTGATCTTTACTTCTCCCTGCCTCAGAATGCCAACCTGCAGACATCCATCGCAGAAGATGAGCAGCGTGGGGAGATGGCCCTTAAAGGATGCCAGCGCTAAGCTCCAAGATTTGCAGACGGCCCTGCAGCAGGCCAAAGATGACCTGGCCCGGCTGCTGCATGATTATCAGGAACTGATGAACGTCAAGCTGGCCCTGGATGTGGAGATTGCCACCTACCGCAAGCTGCTGGAAGGCGAGGAGTACAGGTGAGGGACCATGGGTCAGCATTCTCCAGATAAAATTTTAGAGTGACTTTGATAATGACAAAAGGGGTAAGTTGATAAGTTGAGGACAACCAGACAATGGGCAAGTAGTCTCCTGAATGGCAGTGTTAAGCATTTAAGCCCCACTGTTTTTCATTGGTCAATATCATCTACTTCTCAAATTTATCATGGTTATCAACTGCATTATGTACTTCTATTTACACTCTTATGTGCAATGTATTAGGAAAAGGGCTTTGGGGTTGTGATGAATGTTATAGACCAGGATTGTCTACTGGAACTCTCCAAGATTCTGCACATATTCCATACCTGTGTTGTCCAATGCAGTAACCATTAGCTCCTTGAGCATTTGCAACTGGCTAGTGCAACTGAGGAACTGAGTTTTACATTTAATTTAAATAAATTTAAGTAGCTTCATGTGGCTAGTAGTTACCAGATCAGACAGGTCAGTATGGACATTCCGCAACTCTCTTTCCTGAAGCTGAGTCCATAGGGGATGTAGTTGATGAATATTCTTGAAAAAACACAAAGCAACAGATAAAGGCCTAGCAAGTAGATATCAACTCTGAAGGGAGTGTAAAGAATAGAGGGATCTTTCAGCTGCCTGCCTGCCTCATACTTCTTGTGTTTACAGCCTTTGTCTTCAGGCAGGGGAGGGAGAGGTGATGGATGGTGGGGAAGAGATCTCCTCTCAAGAACAATCAGGTGTTTGCTTCCTAGTCGATCTGATGGGAGAAATGGAACCCAAGTATGAGGAGTAAAGGATTTTTTAAGTGTCTCCATAGGAAGGAGTAAGAGTGATGTGTTCAGTGTATTGAAAATCATGTGATGATGAAGGAGTGGTCAATACCAGTGGGCATATAGTGGCATGGTGCAAGGGCACATCCCACGTCTGCTCAGATATGTGGCAGGCCTGCTCCATGAACACGGTCCAGGAAGATGGGCAGTGTGGGTGGGACATTTTCAAATTCATCACATGTCAGCCCCTTTCATATTTTCTTCACTTCCACCACTATCACTTCCCAGTCCACTAGGGAAGGGTTCCTTAAAGAGGAAAGTTGAACTAAAAAAAGTAAGGGCTGGGAAGAGAAGGAGAAAGGCATGTTAAGGTGTAAGCAGGGCTTGGGAGGGGGGATGGATTGATCAAGTGGGGGCTGGCTGCTTGCCTGGAGCAGGTAATCTTTAGGACTAAGGGAAAGAGGGTGGGAAGAGTGTGGTTGGGAGAGGTACTGGAAGTCTCAACCTGGATCAGCCTTCTTTCTGGAGAGATAGGGAAACAGATTTGAAATAGTCTTTCTTCTTGACCAGAAACTTGAACCCTGGTAGGGTACATGGGAAGACATAACTCCAAAAGTTATGAACCTTCAGCTCATTGGCTATTGACCCATGATAGAAATAACTCATTTCTGTTCCTTTTCAGGATGTCTGGAGAGTGTCAAAATGCTGTGAGCATTTGTAAGTAGCACATTTAAACACCTTCTCCCTGGGTTATAAAAAGAACAACTAGAAACACCCTTGCAGACTGATCTTCAGGTGGGAGGGCCTTGATGCACCTAAGGAAGCCATCTGACAGCAGCCAGGGTCTCTGTCATGGTATGCGCTTTGCCCTCAGAGTTGTAAGCTGACAATCTCTCTGGTATAAATTGGCAACCTCAGGGCAAAGCTCAAACCCCCATGGCTGTGTGGAGTGCTCTAGGTTGGAGAACCAAAAATTTCTGAGGGTACTTCTGATTCTTGTTCTTGGGCAAGGACACTAGAGAGGCAGGCTCACTCTTGTTATTTGCAAACTGAGGCTTAGAGTAGATGAGTATCATTCTCTAAGTCACATAGTTGAGCAGGGGAGGCTGTGGTAAAGCCAGACCTCCAGCTTTCCAGGCCTTTCTCCGAATTGAGTGTCTACTGTCCTATAGCTGTGGTCAGCAATGTCACCAGTGCAAGCAGCAGCTCTGCTGGCTTCAGAGGGGTCAGCAGCAGCAGCAGTGGCTCCAGAGGTGGCAGCAGCAGTGGTGGCTCCAGAGGCAGCAACTATGGAGGGGACAGCAGTGGCAGGAGCAGTGGGGGCAGGGGTGGCAGTGGGGACTACCATAGTGGCAGCAGGCTCAGCAGTGGAGGCAGCAACTCCGTGAGCCAGCGAGGAATGGTCTTCAGCTCTGGTGGCACCCAGACTTCAGCAGGCAGTGGAAGCAGCACCAGTGTCCGCTTCTCCCAGACCACCACCGGCTCCAGCCAGCAATGTTCCAAGTGATCCTCCAGGTCAAACCTCCATGCCCATTTGCTCCCCCTGCCAATCTGCAACTGCACTTCTCACTCTCTGCTTGGCATGACCATGTGCATACTGCTCAACCATGAGAAGGGACCGAACTCCTGTTTCCTCCATTCCCAAGTTCTCTCCTAGGCCAGGGAGGTCCAGCTACTAGTCTGGGATGATGATGCTACTGGAAGAGGCCCTGTGATGCGCCCCCCTCTACCCTGAATTGGACAGCAACATCTGAGCCCCAAGCCCATATGGACCTTGCAGCCTGGCTTATTTCTTCTCTAGCCCATCACCTCTCACGGGGAGTGGATAGTCTGAAGCCAGCACCTTTCAGCACTGCCTAAGGAGGGCAGTGCTGTGGGACAGTGCTGGAGGATGGTCAATAGTCCAGACTATTGGTTCTCAGGGAGCCCTTCTCATACCTGGGCATCATGTCCTGGCTTGTCTCTGCTCTGTCCCCTTAATCCCCATGGGCTGTGGAACTCTGGAGATGAGCTGTTGCACTTCCTTTTCTCAATAAATTGCACTGTATTTCACATGTTTGCTTTTCACTACAGGATTCACAGAACAGACCAGGCCCAAGAGTAGAGGGAAATCAGGGGTGTGGGGTGTAATCAGGGGTAATAAAAAGGTGTAAAGGACACAGAATAGCCTTGATTTCTCCTTTTTCCGTTTGGTTGGGTTCATGTGACAGGTCTGCTCAGGGGTGTTCCTGGTATTGATGGAACACTCCAAGGTTATCTCATCTGTCTTCCACCTCTGAGCAGGCCTCTATGATCTAGTCTTGGAAGTAGAGGGTTCTATAGTTCATCAAAGGAACAGATTCCACTAAGACTTCAGCTACTTTGCTCTATCCCCACCCCAGCCAGACATAGCAAATTCTCCTCCTGAGGTCTGAGGAGGTCAATACACAACACCCTCTGTTTCCTACAGAAGTCTAAGCCAACTAAAAATTAAATGCAAGAATGAACAAATTGTGGGCTGGGGATGAAGCTTAGGGTACTTGCCTAGCAGGCATAATACCTTGGGTTTGATTACCAGCAGTAAAGGAAGGAAAGAAAGAAGGAAGGAAGGAAGGAAGGGAGGAAGGGGAGAAGGAAGGAAAGAAGGAAGAAAGAGAATGAACAAATGGTGAGTTAATTTTGCCTCTATTACCAAGGACAGTTATTGGCGATACCTCAGTAGAATGGGTTTGTTATTACAGGACCTCAGGATTAGGCCAGATTTCCCATCTGCACAGAGGTAGCATAGGACCACAACAGGCTTTCAGGCTATCAGACATTTCACATAGGATAGCAGAACATAAGGCTGCTACAGACAGCCAGACCCAAAGAGCTGGAATAGCATTTGCTCTGTATGCCCAGCTCTTCCTTTCAAACTCAGTCATCAGGTAAGAGAGGGGTGGGACTGTTACAGCAGTGCAGATCACTCCAGGTGGAGGTAAAAGTAGAAATGGGGCCAAAGCATACCTGCCCTTCTGCCAGGATTCCTAAATTATTCTTGGAAAGCTGAAATCCAAACTCAGTTTGCACAGCCAATGAGGGAAAAAGGGAATTGAAAGATCAGGGAGAAGATATTTAGGGTTTGTGCTCCTTTTAACAATCCCCTAAACCAATCCCATCTGCATGCATTTGAGCATGGTAAAATAGTGGTTTGTGAGTCACTTCAGATCATGTCACTCCAGAAGGGAAATCAGGCTTGGATAATGACAGGGCATCTGTACATCTGCCTTATGTCCAAGGAGAGCGCTGAGGTCTGACCTTCATGTTCCCAAGCCCCAGATGGGTCTTCATGCACCCCATCTATTGTGAGGAGGGATGGTGGAGGGGGATACCAAGTGAGCCTTCTGAAATCCTTTTTGTGATGTCTTGGATTAAAAAAATCTACCTATTAGTCACAACGATTTCTTTATTTTCCATTCTTATTCTTTATTTTTGTATCTTTTTCTCTTCTTCCTCTCTTTTCAAAGTTCTTTTCCTAGATTACAAGAGCAACATATTTTGTGCAAAAATGCATAAAAGTTAGCCAAATAAAAAGAAGAATATCTTTCCCAATGATTCCACCACCACGTAGCATTTTCCTACATTCGTGCACATACAGGCACACACATATATACACAGAGATATGAACACGTACGTATATATACTTCACAGAGTAGAGTCTTACAATATGTACTGCTTTCTAACCTGGTTTTATCTAATCCATTGTGTCATTGCTACTGTCCATTTAGTCACTCAGCAACTAGGCTGAGCACTATCATTTTTCAGACACTGTACCAGACCCAAGAATATAGAAACAAAGTTTCTGCCCTCACAGAATAATGAAGGCCATCATTTTCTTTAAAAAACAAAATCAAAAGAACTAAATGATGGTGTACTTCCTTCCAGAGGTGTGCTGATGTTTTCTGGTTGGTAATGTTCTACCAAACATTGTACTAAACCAAAACCAGACAGATGATCGTGAAAGTTCTTTGCACCCTCCTCTTACCCAAACTGAGCCGGACCAACGGGATATGCTTTTCAGTAAGAGAGATTTTGCCAGGTAGAAGGATGGAGCTGGAATTGCAGAGCCTGAAGATCATGATTTTAGCAAACTCACTCTCTCACCCAACCAAAAACCTAACACATTGATTTATACAGAAAGGATTTTAAGCAAATCTGCACAAATACACTTAAAAATACATTTCTTCAATGCCTTTCAATTTCTAGTATGTAGCATACGTTAATTGGGATTTAGTAAAATAGTAATCTCAATAAAGAAAGCATTTTTTTCTTCATAGCACTAGCAATTAAGAAGTACACACCATTTAATACTTTAGCCTTAGTGTTCATCTACAAAAATGTTTTTTTTTTTTTTCAAAAATGATGCTTAAGGAAAAAAAAAAGGCTTCTCCAGAAAAAGTAAGACTACATCAGGACTAACAGAAGCCAATGAGAAAAGAACTGCAAAACCAAGATTAGGAGTTGATTTTCAAATGTGCCTTTTGGTTAAGGACATGTCTTTCAGTTAATTCCTAGACTACCTCTAGCTTTCCCACAATAATGGGCAGAAAATAGGAGCTTCAGAATTTCTAAGACAGGGGCAGCTGGTTTGAGTAATGCCCTAGATAAAAACTCTAAAACAGTGAAAAAACCCACCCAGGTGGGTGATTGGGGTCAAAAGACTGCAACTTACAAAAGTGATTGCTGTGACCAAAGAGATGGGTGCAAAGCCTGCTGTGGTATTTGTCACAGGAGCATGTCTGCTGAGGGAAAGACTCTCTCAAGTGTCATGCTTCCCAGAGTCTTGCCCAAAGTTGTCTGATTCTCAAAAGCACCCAGAGAAGGTGTCTACTTTGGCAGGAGCTCTAGGGTTTACTGTTTTAGGCAAACAGAAGTCCTTGGAGGGTCAAGTTCATCTTTCTAATCCATCAATACTCGTCATTAGTGAAGAGCTGCAGAACAGTCAATCTTTCTAAGACACATTCTCCTATCAACAGGAAAAGCAGCCTATCCCAGTCTACTGGGACCTTGATATTCAGAAAGCTCCCAGGCCTGGAGGCTGAGCTAGTGCTGCAGATTATTCTGCCCAGAATAATCTGGGCAGCTGGCTTGGCAGGTGGTCTGCACAAGGAAATCACCACGAAATCACTGCTCAAGTCCAGTCCCTGCCTTCTTTTTCTGCTCGGCAGTCCAGAAACATCTCCAGAAAGTCCATGAATGTGGGCAGCAGTCACTTCATCTTTCTGGTCCTTGACATTGTTGTGAAAGCCACCATGTTGAATTCTGGAATCCGCTCCAGCAGCTGTTCTTCAGTATCTTTTTCTATTAAAGAAAGATATTCATGAAAATTTGGTGTGTAGGTGAATTTGTTCTCTTGGGAGCCTTTAAATTCCTGGTAGTATTTGTCCATGAACCGTCTCTGCAGTGCCTGGAATTTGGTATCCACGATAATGTTCTCTATGGATCCAACCACGCATCAAATTCCCCTTTGGATACGAAGAGATGGACAGCGCCCAGCTCTCTTCCTCTGTGGCCTCCATCACTTCTGCCGCTGCAGCCGTCCTGGCATGGCGGGCAGCCTTGGACCATCATCCAATCCCTTAGTTACCAACCTCTAGGTGCCACACTGTGCTACCTGTCAAGAATGACTACATAATACTCCCTTATGTGGATTTAACACATTTTGATGGATTTGTTATTACTATTTTTTTCACTATAATAAACATTGCTGCCATGAATGTACAGGTCTCTGAACCATTGTTCTCTTCATTAACTTCCTAGATGCGGAATTGCTAGGTTACTTAAAAGTTTTGATGTATATAATCAAACTCCTATCCGGAAAGATTTCACCAATATGTATTTTTACAAATAATATATAAGACTTTGTTTCTTCAGTTTTATGACACTGTAGTTTTCTTTTTTTAAGTTTTTAAAAATTATTTTCTTGGTTTTATTTGTCATTTGAGTACTATTGACAGTTGAGCATTACTGAAATGCACATAGCTATTTAATTTTCATTTTCTGTGACGCGTTTCTTCATTTATTTGATCCATTTTCCCCTTTGAGTAGTCATTTTGTTTTTCTTAGTAATCCGTACATACTCTTTGTAGACTAAAAAAACTAGGCATTTGTTGTAAAATGCCTTTTAGTGCAGATCTTTATTAGAGTACAATTAGATCCGGCTCTGCAGGGGGAGTGTATCTCAGTGGTAGGGTGCTTGCTTAGCATGCATGAGATCCTGGGTTTGATTTCCAGCATCACAAAAACCAAAATCAAACCAAATTAACTCCTGTCATGTTATCTTGACTGGATGAAAGAATGACACATGCTAGGTCCAGTATGAGGAAATTGCCCTGAACAAAGCTGAGACCCAGGCTCTATACTAGATCAATTTAAATAAAAATTACTGCATTAACCTGCACCCCATTAGCTTTCCTAGGGCTTCTGCCCCTTCACCTCCAGCCCCATAAAGGACCATCTTAGAGAGTAGATATTTTATTCAGTAGGAAA